TTTCATTTAAAAAAAATCTGTACAAAGTTACACATAAGATTGTCATTTTACAGAGCCAGTGACAAAACTTTTCAAACGCCCCACGTAAAAGAATTGGTAGAGGAGGAGTGACAAATGAAGAATTCTATAATAAGTTACAAGGCTTCATGAAATCCGCTGGTGGAATTAATTTAAATGATATGGAGTGTTTGATAGTGTTGGCGGTAGAAGTAGTAATAACTGTGACAAAATCGGAAAGCCACCAAGTAAATTCAAAGGTGGTTCATTTCAAGTTAAAATAAAAAATAGCTCAGATTAAGCTGATGTAAATATCTGTCCGTCTATCTATATGTTTATATTACCAATATTAATATCAATATTGTAATTTAAATTTTTTTAAATGAATATATTTAAAGGTCAGAAGAATCATCAGGTTTGGTTGTGGAAGAAATGATAAAGCGTTTAGAGAATATGGAACTTATAGAAGATAATATAGTTGAGATGTGTAGTGAGAATGGATGAAGTCATGGGATCAATGATGTGAACTTTGACATTTAAAGAATATTTAAAGAAAAGGTAGTTAGTTGTGAAAAAAAAATTGCCTTTTTATACCAAATCAAAAAGCTTATGTAGGAATAGCTTAAAAAATCTAGTTTATATATTTAGTGGATGCGTAATAAAAAAATTTATTTATTATTTTTTGTAATGTTTTGTCAAGAAAGTTTTCTTATGGTCCGTCTGCACCTAAATGATCTGGATGCACTTTAATGATTCCACAACAGACCGCATACAAAAAAAAACAAATAAACGTCGTTTGTAGCTTAAGTTCTTGTGAATAAATGTGCAAAATTTGACCTCTTTACTGTGTTTATTAAATTAATGGTTGGGGAAATAAAACTTTGTCCAAGTTTTTTTGAGGAAAACTCTATTATATGAATGTCACTGCCAACACTATGATTTGGTAGTAATAGTATATACCACCTTATATTCGCATTAATACAGAAGAAGAAAAGGTCACCAGCCACACTGATTCGTGTATCAAGTTGCAAATTTAAAAGACATTCAAAGAGAAAAAATTGTCATTTTTTGTGGACATTGAAGCATGTTTGTCAAAAATTAACCCCAAATAATATATTGATAATGGTATGGAAGAATTGGAGAACGAAAAAATGAAAATGTGTCAGGTATTTGTGACTTAAAATATATTGATTATGTCATAATAGCCCAGCAAGTTTTGGTGACCCGAGGATGTTGCAAAACAACTTTTTCCTCAAACAATCTTTTTCTAGGAAAAGATTTAATAAAATAGAAAACAGTTATAAAAGGCAAAATTCAAATTTGTATGTTTGATCGTTTGATTTGATTTGACGGTGACATACAATAGGGTTTTCTGGTCCTTTCATGAATGCAATTACTACATCAAAGCTGACATTTCAAGTTTAAACCTTTTCGAAGAATTTATTCAAAGAAATTTATTAAAAATGAATGTTTATTTTAAGACTAATATTAATCACATGCCAAAATTGTAGGTTGATTATTATGTGTTTTTAATTATTACAGAGAAATAAACTTTATATATATATTCACAAGGATGAGTTACAAAGTGATGCTTTTATTTATTCTTATATGTAGTCTTTTGCAAAGTTATTAAAAAAGTGCATCCCAGTACTTTATTCTGAAAAGCCAAATTGTTCGTTTCCTTAGTATTAAACTTGATCAGATCAACTAAGCATGTTAGTCGAAATTGCCTCTCTTAATAAATGATCATTGCCGAGTCCGAAATGCCGAAATAGTTCTTCATAGTTACCAAAATCAACTTTATTAGTTGTCGAAATTATATCTGAGATTATTTGAACACTTTAACTCAACAGCCAAAATTCTGGGTAGTCTATTGATATAAAGAATATTGTAAATCTGGAATTGCTTGTTGAAATTGATTTTTTCAAAAACCATTTTTCAGCTAACATTCTTAAGACCAACGACTGTTTATTGGAATTTTTTTGGCAAAAAAGATTATTTACAAAATCTGGATCAAATTTACAAGAATTCATCGACAATTATTAACAAATGGAGTTTTTCTTCAAGCCAGCTTGGAAAAAAGGAAATAAAAACTCGAATAGATCTTAATTCGAAAAGATTCAAATATAAAAGAAATTAATTCATTTAATAAATGGATAATATAATTTAGATTAATCCTGCGATTACTACAAATACAAAGGGTACTAGTGTTGGTTTCCAAAATTCGAGAATTTCGCAACCGTGCGAAAGTCAAAAGGTTTCGCCATAAGTCGAAACTAGTTTTGATTTTTGACTATTGATTTTTGATTTAGTATTGACATATAACTTTTAATTTTAGTTTTGACTTTTATCTCTTCAAAATAGTTTTGGTGACCAACACTAAAGGGTACTAACATATTGTGACAAGTCATTAAATATGGATGTTGGAAGCCAATATATTCTATTTAAATGATCCATGGTCCATTGACAAGTTATTTGTACAAAGTCGCATAAAATTTTATAGATTTTTTAAAAAATAAATAGTTTACTCTTTGCTTCACAGTGAAATATTCACTTCAAATCCTGTGTTAAAAGAAAAAACATCAGTTAACAAGAGCCAGACGATAAGTTTACATATCAAGATAAACGGGTCATGTTGTGTTCAACCATATATAGATTTAAAATTATTAAACATCTTATATGATTTGATGCCTTCAAAATACATAACAACTGTTATCACTGAAGTTGGAATGATTCCATGTACAAGTGTTCCTGTGGTAACTATCAAGCTCTATTTTCCTTTTTTTCTTAACTAGCCAAGTCCTATTGGAATGCTTCAATGATGTATATTTAAGATTATTGTTGCAAAGAGCTTGATACCATTTACCCTGTGAACTCATTGGAAAAGAGTATATATTAATAAAAATAAAAATAAAAACAAAAATGTTAATATATATAAAAATATAAATATAAAATAAATATAAATATAAATATAAATAAATATATATTAATATATATATTTTAGCAAATTTTTAATTAGTGATTAGCAAAATATCTTTAGCTTTACAAGTTTTTTTTTGAAATAACCTTCTAACAATATTCAATGATTGGATACATGCTGAAAATGGATTTACAAAATAATTGATGAAATAATCTTTAAAGATTCAGTAGGCCAAATGACTCTAGGTCAGTCCACTATAAGATTTTTGAAAATAATTATTAATAATACTATAATAATAATAGATATCAA